AGGCCGACTGAATTTCAAATGTGTTTGATTTTAAACTGACCTTACACTTCCTGATCGGGACGTGGTTATGAGGCAGATCGCCCCTTGTGACCTCCTGTACACTACACAACGCACGATCAAGCTGAAAGTCAGCCCGATTGAAAAACTCTCGCACAACTGGAGAATGGGCCCGAAAAGGGCAAACGATCGTACACTGTATGCCTGGCTTTAGTTGAAACATCAGATGTTTATGATTTGTTGTAGTTCCTAAAAAAGAAAATATACCTTTTAAATATCTTTCTTGTCTGACTGGTCTTCACCTGGACAGACCTTGAAGGCTGCTCTGTTGGAGCAGGTGAAGAAAGAGAAAATCCGAGTGAAGATCGAGATCATGCAGGCTTCTAATAAAGCTAAACATGCTGTTCAGAAATGGTATGAACTCAAAATTAAAAGGCATCTTATATGATTAAATATATTGTTTAATTTATGTTTACATTTCAGATTTTAATAGAGTAGTTGAAACTTTTTGTGAAAGTCCAGAAATAAACATCTGTTATAACATTTTTGGGTAAACAGGAAGGAAATGCAGTTGAATCGGCTAGCAAACCTAGAAGCACAGTGTCCGTGCTGCCAAGCAGTGGTGTCTGATGTCCAGGAAAGGATTAAAGTCTTGGCGAATGCCATGCAGATGGCCAGAGAAGTACGCCGGGCCCCCATCTTGGAGCAGTACTTCTTCCTGGATAAGGTATGAGATTTTATATGTGTAACCCTACATGGATGGAGTCCATCTGGTGACCTTACTGGACTGCCAGTCTAAATCTTTTCTTTCAGAGTCTATAAAACAAACCTGTAATGCTGGTTGCTGTGTTTTCTCATTAACAGTTGCTAGAAACACTGCAGACACCGGTGGATCAGGAGGCCTTTGAATTGCAATGCATCAACGAGGGCCGTTCAGTAAGGTTGGTCTATCAGATTTGTAATGAAGTTTAGCGATAATTGGGTAAAAGTAAAAATACTGTATTACCTTTGTCTTTCATTAACAGGCTAAAAAGTTAAACATGAAACAAAACATAGATGCATTGTATTAAAAGGCGGCATCTTTTTTCCTTATATTCTAAAAGGAAATCTGAATAAACTTTTACTGCTTAAGACAAGATTATCAAAAGTGTTTTAGAGGTTTACATTAATGCTGATATATCCATCTGCAAAGTCCAGATAATTGTTTTGTTGTGGACTTTATGAGTATCTAAGTTTCTTATTGACTTTGACCTACACATGTAACCCAAAGTCAAACAGTGTTTGAGAATTTTAAACCTGTTGCACTCCCTACCAGTTGGTGGCAGTAGAGCACCTGCAAATGTTACTTCTGTTTCCAACTTGACGACCCAATCCCAAACCGGCACCTGAACCCTATCCGGTCCGACTCCGGTCTTACCGTTGCGGTGCGGTGGGT